TGTAATCACTACACTGATCAAGAAATAGAGTACTGGGCTTCCCTGGTGGCGCAGTGGTTGAGAGTCCGCCTGCCGATGCAGGGGACACGGGTTCGTGCCCCGGTCCGGGAAGATCCCACATGCCATGGAGCGGCTGGGCCCGTGAGCCATGGCTGCTGAGCCTGCGTGGCCGGAGCCTGTGCTCTGCAATGGGAGAGGCCACAACAGTGAGAGGCCCACGTACCAAAAAAAGAAAAAAAAAAGAAATAGAGTACTGGACTTCCCTGGTGGCACAGTGGTTAAGAATCCACCTGCCAATGCAGGGGACAGGGATTCAATCCCTGGTCCGGGAAGATCCCAAATGTCATGGAGCAACTAAGCCGGTGTGCCACAACTACTGAGCCTGTGCTCTAGAGCCCGTGCGCCACGCCTACTGAAGTCCATGCTTCGCAACAAGAGAAGCCACTGCAATGAGAAGCCCACACACTGCAACGAAGAGTAGCCCCTGCTCACCACAACTAGAGAAAGCCTGCACATGGCAAGGAAGATCCAACGCAGCCAAAAATACTCATTAATTAATTTTTTTAAAAAGCTTTAAAAAAAAAAGAGAGTACTGATCACCCATTTCCAATTTACTTGCTATTACTATCTTTTAAAACTCTTGATTAGACATTAATGGTATTGGTTTTTTTAATGTACAGAATGTATTTATATTAATTTATATTGATTTCTTTACTCATCAACCATTTTTTTTAACTTTTATGGAGTATAGTTGATTTACAATATTGTGTTAGGTTCAGGTGTACAGCTAAGTGAATCAGTTATACATATACATATATCCACTTTTTTTTTTTTAAAGATTCTTTTCCCATATAGGCCATTACAGAGTACTGAGTAGAGTTCCCTGTGCTATACAGCAGGTTCTTATTAGTTATCTATTTTATATATAGTAGTGCATATATGTCAATTCCACTCTCCCAATTTATCCCTCCCCCCCTTTTCCCCTGGTAACCATAACTTTGTTTTCTACATCCATGACTCTACTTCTGTTTTGTAAATAAGTTCACTTGTACCCATTTTTTTATCGCTTATCCACATATAAGTGATATCATATGATATTTGTCTTTCTGTGTCTGACTTACTTCACTCAGTATGACAATCTCCAGGCCCATCCATGTTACTGCAAATGGGATTATTTTGTTCTTCTTTATGGCTGAGTAATATTCCATTGTCTATTTGTACCACATCTTCCTTATTCATTCCTCTGTTGATGGACATTTAGGTTGCTTCCACGTCTTGGCTCTTGTAAATAGTGCTGCAATGAACATTGGGGTGCATGTGTCTTTTTTACTTATGGTTTTCTCCAGGTATATGCCCGGAGGGGGATTGCTGGGTCATATGGTAGTTCTATTTTTAGGTTTTTAAGGAACCTCCATACTGTTCGCCATAGTGGTGGCACAAATTTACATTCCCACCAACAGTGTAGGAGGGTTCTTCATAAACCAGTTTTATATTTCAGACTTTCATTTATGGAAGTTTTTTTCTTTTTTTTGAAAGTATATAGTCTATGGATTTTTTGTTGTTGTTGTTGTTTTAGTATCTGTTACAGATAATCTCTCTGGCACTAGTTAATATGAAAATGTTTTTATTTTGCCCTCATTTTTTTTTAAATTTATTTATGGCTGTGTTGGGTCTTCGTTTCTGTGTGAGGGCTTTCTCTTGTTGTGGCAAGCGGGGGCCACTCTTCATAGCGGTGCGCGGGCCTCTCACTATCACGGCCTCTCTTGTTGCGGAGCACAGGCTCCAGACGCGCAGGCTCAGTAACTGTGGCTCATGGGCCCAGTTGCTCCACGGCATGTGGGATCTTCCCAGACCAGGGCTTGAACCCATGTCCCCTGCATTGGCAGGCAGATTCTCAACAACTGCGCCACCAGGGAAGCCCCCTTGCCCTCATTTTTGAAAGGTAAGTTTGATGGTATGTAATTCTTAGTTGGCACTTATTTTTCTCTCAGACTTTGAAGTTGTTTATTGTCATCCCTCTTAACATTGTTGCTTTGAGAAGTCTGCAGTATATTTAATTGTCTTTCCTTCAGAAGTGATCTGCCTTTTCTTCATGGTTGCTTTAGAGGTTTTTTCTTTGACTTTCTATTCTGCAATTTCCCTACATGTGGATTTCTTTTTATTCATCCTGTTTGAGATTCACTGTGGTTCTTAAATTTGTAAATAAAAGACTTTTATCATTTCTAGAAAATTGTTCCCCATTACCTACTTGAATACTGCCTTTCTTTCATGTTCTCTTTTCTCTCCTCTAGGGATTTTGATTCAGTGTCTCTTCTACCTCCTCATTCTAGATTTCATGTCTCTTATTTCTTTGTCATCTTTGGGTTTCTCCATCTTCTAGTTTCTATGCTGAAATCTGGGTAATTTTTTCAGAAATATTTTCCAGTTAACTAATTCTCTCACCTGCATCTAGTTAACTTTTTAATCTATCTTGAAATGTAGGTTGAAATATCCATGATTATATTTTTCATTTTTCAATGTTGTTTCTTATTCTTTTTTTACATCTACTTTGATAGCAAGGGAGTACCCTTGCTATTTCTTCACTTTTAAAATTTGGCCTTCTTTCAATGTGATCATACTTTAACCATGTCTTACACAGTTATTTTAAACTCAGAATCTGATAATTCCCATACAGGCATACCTCATTTTATTGTGCTTTGCAGATATTGCTTTTTTTACAAATTGAAGGTTTGTGGCAACCCTGCATCCAGCAAGTCTATCAGTGTCATTTTTTCCAACAGCATTTGCTCACTTTGTGTTTCTGTGTCACATTTTGGTAAATTTTGCAATACTTCAAACTTTTTCACTATTATTCTGTTTGTTATGGTGATCTGTGATCAGTGATCCTTTTTTTTTTAATTTTTTTTTTTTTTTTGGCTGCATCGGGTCTTTGTTGCTGCACGCGGGCTTTCTCTGCTTGCAGTGAGCGGGGGCTACTCTTCGTCGCAATGCGCGGGCTTCTTATTGTGGTGGCTTCTCTTGTTGCAGAGCATAGGCTCTAGGCGTGCGGGTTTCAGTAGTTGTGGCTTGAGGGCTCAGTAGCTGTGGCTCGTGGGCTCTAGAGCGCAGGCTCAGTAGTTGTGGCGCAGGGGCTTCGTTGCTCTGTGGCATGTGGGATCCTCCAGGACCAGGGCTCGAACCCGTGTCCCCTGCATTGGCAGGCGGATTCTTACACCACGCCAGCTGGGAAGTCCCTGATCAGTGATCTTTGATGCTACTACTATGACTTGCTGAAACCTCAGATGATGGCTAGCATTTTTTTTAGCAATAAAGTTCTATTTAATTAAGGTATATACATTGTTGTTTTTTTAGATATAATGCTATTGCACACTTAATGGGCTACAGTATAGTGTAAACATAACTTTTATATGCACTGGGAAACCAAAAAATGTGTGTGACTTGTTTATTGCGATATTCACTTTATTGTGGTGGTCCAGAACTGAACTCACAATATCTGGGGTATGCCTGGAGTTGGAATCCTCAGAGGCCTAAATCTGTTATTTACTGTTTCTGCTGACTTTTACTGAACAGGTGATTCCTATATGCTTGGTGATCTTTTTCAAAATTGTGAGTTCACATTTGACTGAAGTTAATCTGTGGGAATCCAGAGTGCCTAATTTGGAGGGTTTTTTTTCCTCCTTGTCTACGAGGAGCAGACAAGACTACCAGCATGAGATCCTTTTAGTCTGATTTGAGGGTGTTGGCTACATGGGAGCCTTGGATTAGACTGCTTCTTTATGCCAAGGGCCACAGGTTTAGCCTAATAATCATAGTAATGTTATTTACAGTTGCCCTAAGGAAAGCACATGTTTTCCTTTGTTTTCTGCTCATCAATCAGCTTTCAACTCACTAGGCCTTTTAACATCTTTATTTTCCTTGGTTCCTAGTCTATTAGTTGCAATAACTTCTTCCCAGTATAAAGCATAGAACCGTTTCCTCTTCCTCACAGGATAAGACCTTGTTTTGTTTTGATTATATCAGAGCTCTCCAACCTTGGATTAAGAGAGGCTACTTTCCCTTTCCTCTGGAGAAGAGAAGTGGACTCACAGGGCAATGAAGCACTGAGGAAAGGTTAATCAAGGCCCTGAAAGGAGATGTTCGGAATAGTGGACCCTGATAGAAAAATCTCAAAGTGAAATTGAGACCAACCAGGCTTCTTGGCCTCCTTAATCAATAGAAATTAATATGAGGCCAGACAAGAAATTCAGGCAAGGCTTTACTGGGGCCCCTGCTGCAGCAAGGGGGCAGTAAAAACAAGTAACAGGTTCCCTTGCTCACTCCCCAAGGCGAGTGAGCCTAATATGTTCCTTATATGGGGTGAGGGTAGAGGTGTGTCCAGGGGTTGGGCCTGAGGGGTGGCTTAGGTAGTTTGCCCACCCCTTTGGTGGTGCTGTGTGCAGGGGGCATGCACTGTTCCCTGCTTTTGCTCCCAGCTCCTCAGAAGTGGCAGTTGGGTTTCTGGTCCTTTTGTATCGTCTTGTCGATAATTTGCTCCACTTTACAGGCAAGCAGTTATTTATAGCCCCTTATAGTTTCTTTGTATTTTGTTGCTTGAGGAGATGTTTGTCTGGGTGCAAGCACTGCAGCAAAGTGTCCCAGGTCCTTATAAGCCAAACAGAAGCAGGTTTGAGAGAAAGATGGAGTGGTGCGGATACAGCAACATTTACAGTGCTCATTTCTGGTAGGAGCTGCTGTCTTCCATCAAGTAAAACAAGCGTAGGTTGTTTTTGTTACTGTATTTTATTTAGTTATTTTTTGCCACACCACAGGGCTTGCAGGATCTTAGTTCCCTGATCTGGTATCAAACCCAGGCCACTCCCGGGCCCCAGCAGTGAAAGTGCTGAGTCCTAACCACTGGACCACTAGGGAATTCCCATGTTACTGTTTCTGTGGATGAGCCAAATGTGAGAGGGAAATTAAGCCAAGGGTAATCACTAATGATATTTGATCTTTTGTTTCAGATGTCTGTTTATTGTGATAAGCATGCATACAAGAATGAAAAGGAAAATCCTATCCCAGAACTGCAAACATAGCTTGAAAGAATTGAGAGAGATTGACACCCGAGCCATCTCTGGAGAGACTGATGTGATGGACACAAGAGACTGGTACTTGACAAGTCTATTTAGGATCGTTGAAATAGACCAGGGCTTATGTAATACAGATCCTCTTTAGCTATTTATTCATTCTGTTGCAGGGGTCCCTACTAATGTCAGATCCTCCTGGGTATTGTCAGTTGCTACCACTGCAACATGTTTTAGTTCTATAACAAGGTCAGAGAAACTAAAATATCTGTGCCCTTTAAGGCTTTTATTGAGGAACTATGCCATCCTCTCACTTGTTACTCGTTTTTCCCCCTCCATGTCAGCAGTATTCAATGAGTTTTGTTGAGTCCTTATTGTAACAGTAACAACTGACATCAACAGTCCTTATCCCAGGCTTAATAGGAAATGGGAATTCAGTAGTGAACAAGCCAAGCATGATCCTTGGCTCAAAGTGCTCAAGGTAAAAATGGTTGCCCCAATCTTGCCATAAAATACTTACTACTTTTGAGAAATCAGACTGAACCTTAGCGGAAGGGTAAGAGAAAAGTTAGTATGGTAAATATAACACTTTATCATGAACTTCCAAGAAACCTAAGTATAGTAGAGATCTGCTGGGTTGCCTCAATCAATCTGCACCCACGCCTAAGTATTCTTGCAATGGCCCACTTTCATCTATACAGTTCCAATAGCATACATGTTTATACAAATCTGGTGCTTCTGTGGGGGGGTACCCGGCTCAAGCAGTTTCTGAGAATTTGGAATTAGGACCAAGAGATTATATTCTCATTCTAGAAAGGAAGAAAAGTAAATCTTAGAGAAAATGGCTGCCACGTTCTGCTTATGTGGACACATAAGCAGAGAAAGCTGCTATGCTGTGAAAAGGAAAAGTTGACACCCAGAAAAGGCAGAGATGAGATACGCTGAGATTCCTGAGGAATCTGAGCCCCTAATTCCTGTTTATTCCTCCAGCTGTAATAGGGAAGAACAAATATGACTCCATATTAGACCTGTTTCTTTTACTTTAACCTGTGCATTCTATTGCTTTTGCTTTGAGTTGAGAATGTTGCCTATAGCCTGAAATATACAGAATAGCCCATTCTCAAGGCTCTGACCTTTAAGGGTGTAACTCATTTCCATTCATATAGAGATAAAAAGTTGCAGAACAGAGAGTAACATCCTGTTGGAGGTTTACAGGAACATGGTGACCTAACCTACTGGACAGTTGCAAGAACAAAGGATTCCAACACCAAGAAGTTTGCAGCAACCAACCATGCCCCTCCCTCATCTTTGCCTTTAAAAATGCTTTGCTGAAACCCTTTGGGGAGTTTGGAGTTTTGGGGGCATGAGCCATCTGTTCTCCTCGCATGGCCCTGCAGTAAACCTTTCTCTGCTCCAAACTCTGTCATTTCGGTATCATTTGGCCTCAACTATGCGTCAGACGCATGAACTTGTGTTCGGTAACACAGCCTGGCTGCTTCCTTGCTCCTGTGGCCCCCGAGTCACTCCTGCATCCTTATAGCACATTGCTCCTTTCTGCTTAAATTAGTCCGGGTGGATTTCTATTAATTTTTCACTAAGTTTTAAATTTGTAATAGATCAGTACAACTATAGGGAATGTTTTTCTGTTTGCTAAAGGCTGAAAAGAAAGATGAAAACTAGAAACATTTGCTTTTTGATCAACTCTGGGCTTTCTAAGGACCATCAGCAGGGTAAGTAATTTTGGCAAAACTTACTGTGCTTCATGGGTCAATCTGACCTTTGCAACTGTTCCTTTTCTACCTCAATCCATTTGTATGCCCACCAGATGAGTCCCTGTTCTGAGAGAACCTGAAGAAGTACAGCAGGGAGGCACTAATCATTTATTGGTTAACAAATGATACACTTTGGGTTAATTATACTTATGCTGTGATTTTACCTTTTACTTCTTGCATCTGAACCAGCAATAGTATAGAATACTTTTCCCTAGTACTTTCCTGGTGCCTGGAGCACCAGAAAAATCATTCATGGGTTACTTTCACTATTTGTCTCTGATACATTGTTTTAATTATGCTGAACAGGAACTATGGTCTTATCCTCAGCCAGGGCAATTGTATTATCCTTACTGATCACAAGGTTACTGTAAGGAATGGCACCAAGAATGGAGGAGAGCTTAAACAAGCTTTATTTGGGTACGCTCCAGGGGGACGTTCACTGGTCCGAGAGAAAGGGGCCAGAGAAGTCGCGCCCGGGTGAGGGTTTGGGCAGAATTTATAGGGGAAGAAGGGAAAGGGGTGTGGTGAATCCAGGAGGGCGCAGGGTATTCCTTATTTGGTGGTCTTTTCGGGTGTCGTGGGGGACCGTTAGTCCCGCCCCTCGAAAGGCGGGAAGGCTGGGCCGGGTGGAAAGTCCCCAGGTCAGTTCCTGGAACTGGGTGCTCCGGAAAGTCTCCAGGTCAGTTTCAACCTGTGAGTCTGATTGCGTTCCCCTGCCTCGGGCCAGTTGGCCTTACAGTTACTTTTGTAACTGAGGATTGTAGGACATTTATTCAGCATGGATTAGAAAGTACTTGACATAAAGTCTACAGTGTTATTCATTCATTCAACAAATATTTATTGAGTGACTACTAGGGGTGCAGAGGAGGAATCAAATAAATATTCCCACCCCCATGGAGCTTACACTCCAGCTGAAAAGGAAAGAAATAAGCAAGATAAGTAAAATTGTATTTTCAAATAGTGCTAAGGAGAAAATAAAACAGGAAAGAGAGGAAATACCAGGGAAAGGGGGATTACAATTCTAGATATGGAAAGCTCACGAAGAAGTTGAATTTTGAGTGCAGATCTGGAGAAGGTGAAGGAGTGAGTTACATAGATATTTGGAGGAGAGTATGCCAGGCAGAGACCAACAGTTGCAAAGGCCCTTGGCGGAAGCTTGCTCACTATGTCTGAAGAAAGCGAGGAGGCAAATATGGCTGAAGATGAATGAGCCAAGAAGAAAGTAAGTGGAGATGAGGTTAAAGAAATAATGCAAACACACCATTGTAAAGCAATTATACTCCAATAAAGATGTAAAAAAATAAAAAAATAAAATGACAAAGAATGCGGGTTAGATGCTCTAGGGTCTTGTCGTACTCTGCAATTTACTAATAAACCATTATGTGCTACAAGAAAAAAGAAAGAAATAATGCAGGCAGATTACATAGGGCCTCACAGGTCACTGTGAAAACTTGGGCTTTTATGAGAAGTGAAAAGGGAGCCGTTGAAGGTTGAGGAATGACATGATTGATGTATGCTTTAACACGAGTACTACAGTTGTTTTGTTGAGGAAAAAATTAAAGCAGGGCAAGGAGAGAAGTAAGAAGAACAATTAGGCTGTTACAGTAATCCACGTGGGAGATGATGGTGACTTGAACTTGGGTGGTGTAGTGGAAACGGTGACAAGTGATCAGATTCTGGATGTATTTTGAAGAGAGAGCCAGCAGGATTTGCTATTGGATCAGATTGGAGTGGGAGAGAAAAAGACAATAAAACGCCAAGGATTTTGGCCTGAATAACGGGAAGAAGGGAGTTGCCATTTACTGAGATGGGGACCATGGCAAGAGGAGCATCCCAGGGCAGGAATGCTTGTCAGACATCAAAGTGAATGTGTCAAGTAGGCAGGTGGACATGAGTCTGGAGCTGAATGCAGAGATCCAGGCTGGAGACAGAAATTTGGGAGCCACTGTCATTTGATGGCATGTAAAGTGACGAGGAAATCTCCAAGGGAGTGAAAATAAATAATAAAAAAGAAGAGCATATTTAGAGGTTGTGGAGATGAGGAAGAACCAGCAAAGGAGACAGAGGGAGGAAAACCAGGGCTGTGGTATTCCGGAAGTCAAGGGAAGAATGTGTTTCAAGGGGAGAGCGATCAACTGTACTGCTTTATGTCACATATGTGAGAACTGAGATGTGACCTCTGGATACAGCAGTCTAGAGGTCTGTGGCGAGCTCTGATAAGGGCAGTTTTGGTGGAGTAGTGAGGACAAAAACTTAATGGGTCAGTGAGAAAATACAATGAGCAGAATTGGACACGAGTGAATATAGAGAACTATTTCACGGAGTGTTCTGTAGAAAGAAAGGTGTGGCAGAAATAGGGTCAAGAAAGTGTTCTTAAAGGCTGGGCATAATTACAACACGTTTTTATATACTGATGGAGGAAGGCTGCAGAGTGGCAAGTTGGTACGCTGGAAACAGAGGAGAGAACTGTTAGGGCAATGCTCTTAAATTGGCCAAAGGAATAGGGCTAGTGTATTAGGGGAGGGTGGGCAATGAGGAAAGGTAGATGCAGGCCAGGTACATGTGGTCATAGGAGATATATGCCTATCCTTTGGTTTCTGTATGCTTTTTGCAAATGAAACAATTTTTTTTTTTTTGTGGTGCACGGGCCTCTCACTGCTGTGGCCTCTCCCGTTGCGGAGCACAGGCTCTGGACGCGCAGGCTCAGCGGCCATGGCTCACGGGCCCAGCCGCTCCGCGGCATGTGGGATCTTCCTGGACCGGGGCACGAACCCGTGTCCCCTGCATTGGCAGGCGGACTCTCAACCACTGCGCCACCAGGGAAGCCCCCGAAACAAAATTTTTGGTTATCATACTTACATATAATGATAGTGATGGGTGACATACTCACTTTGGGATGACAAGGTTATCTTTAAAATCTGAAAAGTTCAAATGTTGCTAATGCTGTTGCTGTGAACATTGAGGGAAATGGTATGCTAATATTCCAAGACAGTCTGGTGTCCTTTCTCCCAAATAGTTCTTTCTGACACGGCTATGTGGATGTTCTAAAGTGTTTCCTAAATAATCAGCTCTATTAAAATAACCCCACAATAATTAGCCCCCTTCCTTTAAACACCAGCTATTTTTTTAGTTTGGATCTTTGAATCATAAGTCTTTTCTTGTTATTTTTTTTTTCCTCAAAGTATCCTACATTCCTGTTTCCTGCGCATTATTATAGGTAGTCTAGTATCGACGTACACACACTACCGAATGTAAAATAGTTAGCTAGTGGGAAGCAGCAGCATAGCACAGGGAGATCAGCTCCGTGCTTTGTGACCACCTAGAGGGGTGGGATAGGGAGGGTGGGAGGGAGGCTCTAGAAGGAGTGGATATGTGTATACATATAGCTGATTCACTTTGTTGTACAACAGAAACTAACACAGTATTGTGAATCAATTATACTCCAATCAAGATCTATTTTTAAAAATCAGGAAAATATGGCTGCTGGCTGCTCCATTCACTGAATTTGCAACTTATAGCTACTTTCCCGTTCAAACTATTAAATGTGGGTACATGGGATAATGGGTCATTTATTGAGTTGCTCATACTGAAAACCAGAGGGATCACTCTAAAATGTTTAAAATATGTTAGAAGAAGGCTTTTTGTTGGTTGGTTAGTTGGTTGGTTGGTGACAAAAGGCTTGGCAGAGCTCTCTGTTTTCTAGGTGGGATCACTGAAAGTGAAGATTGAAAAACTCTTACAAATCATCTGGCCCAATCATTCATTTGATGCTTAAACTCCCCTATAACACCTCTGCTGAATGTGTGTCCACACTTTCCTGAGCTCTAGTGCCAGGGAACTGACTACTTCACTGCTCTGTGTCGTCTTAGAAATGAACAAGCAAGGACACATTCTTAAGTTTCTACTTAAAATGATGCTGAATTGTATGAAACTTTTCAGGACAGGCAAGAGGTTTTTCAGTTGTTACTCAAAGACTTGTAAGTCAGAATTATGCTTTTACATAGATACAGAATGGGGAAATGCAGGTGGCATAAGAACCTTATGCAACAGGCTGAGCTGCAAAGGATCCCAAGCTAATTCTTGTCTGAAGCACTAGTTGCTTCACAGGTGAGGGCAGAGGATAATATCGGAGGTCTGAGCTGGAGGCTGCTATCCCAAAGCTATCCTGTATCTTAATTTTCTTCCCTAACCTTGACAGCGTGGCAGATGCTTTTGTCTCTGACTTAGCTCCGGGTACCTGGTTTTACTGCAAGATTTAAAATCCCACCCTTCTGGTCATCGTTTTGGTCAGAAGATCAAGTTCATAATCATTAATGTTTTAGTAAGATAACTGGACACAACTATGCATTTTGTTTTCTCTTAAAAGCACACAATGCAGACAGAGTGCAATCATTACAGGTTAATGATTCTGATGTTTCACTTTTGTTTTAATCTACCTATTAGAATTAATTCCAGCTGAAGTAGACTTGTCCATTTTTGACATAAACCTCAGGATAGTAAGTTTACTAAAAAACTGATTTCACTGGGGAGAAAGGAATGAATAGGTGGAGGACAGGGGATTTTAAGGGCCACCAAACGATGGATACATGTCATTATACGTTTGTCAAAACTCATAGAATGTGCAACACCGAATGAAGCCTAATATAAATTATGGACTTTGGGTAAGTCCGATGTGTCGGTGTTGGTTCATTGATTGTAACAAATGTACCACTGTGGTGGGTGATGTTGACAGCAGGGTGGGCTGTGCTTTTAAGGGGCGGGGGTATAAGGGAACTCTACTTGCTCAGTTTTGCTGTAAACCTAAAACTATTCTAAAAAAATTAAGTCTATTAAAAAATGATTTCACAAAGCCTTCAGGTATAAACACAAGTTTTTGAATAAGCACAACTACTCATTTCCAAAATGTTCTTTTGTTATTAGAAAACTTGGAACCATTTTTGATCAATTGTTACCCATTGCAATGAAAAAACTACAGTGGGGACTTCCCCGGTGGTCCAGTGGTTAAGACTCCATGCTTCCACGGCCAGGGGACACAGGTTAGATCCCTGGTTGGGGAGCTAAGATCCCGCATGCAGTGTGGCACGGCCAAAGAAACAAACAAACAAATGCTGACAGTGAAGACATTTACTTCTTTGGTAAATTATTTTGTACAGTGAAGCATCACTCTAATTTAGTTGTATGATAAATCCAGAGATGTCTGAAAAAAGCACCACAGACTAGGAACATCAGATTTTCAGACATTTTTTAAAGCAGAACCTGAAAACTGGGGGGAAATATTCTCTCAAGTAATTGTAAAGTAATCTCTGAGATAACTGGATATTTTCTCCGGGTTTTCTGATGGTTTTATAACCTGGTGGCAACTTCAGACTGATAAAAATAGGTAGTATTTTCTAAGAAATAGTTAGTTGATTTTATTGTTTAGCAGAATGGAAAGTGAATCCCTGGGATTATGGAAGAAAAGAGAGGCATA